CAGAAATATAGCGATCGGAGAGCTGAAAAAATATGAGAAAAGTCAATACCACATTTCCGGACGAAGCTGTTTGTCCCATTTCTCAAGACGCGAGTAGCAGCTTTCGGCCCAAAGTGTGCTCGTAAGAAATTTTTTTACTTTTTTTGAAAATTGTTTTCAAATATATTGTTTCCACAAGTCACTGAAGTCAGCAAAAATAATATGGCAAATTAAAAAGAAGCATTCCTAGGATTTTTGAACTGACCTGCTTCCTCAATTACGAGTACTAATTTAGAGAGATTCAGAGAGACAACTAATTTACAAAACAACAAACCCAAACAATTAAAACCATCCTGACTGAACTGGTGCTGCAAACATGGATGCACAGTATAACATGAAAGAAGCAAAGGTCACCTTGAGCAGAGCTGGTACATCAGTCTCTTGGACGATGAAGCAGTCTCGACCACATCCACAAATGAAATGCAAAAAACGACAGAACACTTCGAAACTACACTGTTCCTTCTCCTCGTTGAATTCAAATGTGTTACGAGTTCGCTCCGAAAATGCGTTCCGAAACATGCCCTGTAAATCACTTAAGCATCACTAAGCCAAACAACGAAAAATGGGAAGAGCTTTCAGTTGCCAGGAAGCGTGCTGCTCAAAAGTCAGGACGCATGCTCTGGAACAACTGCTGAGAAATCCAGGCACCTCGTGCAAGCACGAAGTGCGCCAAGAAGCAAATAATCTCTGTGGCGGCAGCGTTGGATTCACGAAGGAGGATTTATAAAGCTGGATTGAGCCGCAGGAATAGGAAAATGCCTAGGACAGTAATCGATATTGGTGGGCCCGGAACAGGACAGCGCAGAGTTACTAAGAATTTCAGGTGATCATCAACTATGCCGCGGGACTGAGCCTCGCCACTGTCACCAAGGACACTGCTCAAAAACAATGTCAAAATTTCAAAAACTGTGTAGCGCATACCCGGAAATATTCACTTCCTTGACAGAGACTCTGTTGCGGGACATATTCCTCCTGGTCGCCGCACGTGAATTTGATTAGTTTGCGCGAATCAGAACGTAACGCTTTGCGTGCCTCCCACAAAACACATGAATCATTGGTTAAACATTGCTGCCGCTTCAACTTAAACTTCTTCGATAGGCGTGCCAGAATCTCATTAGAGACCAAAGAGCCAAATGCGACCAGAATCTGCCGAAGTATCGATGGCTGAAAATGGCAATTTTCTCAGAAAAAGCCACATTGCAGGATATCTAAGGCAAAACATCAATCTTATCTTACTCGTTCAATGACAAAATGAATAATGTGCGCTTAACTGACTGTACAATTATAGACCTCGAGTTTTTTGTTGTACTCAATTTTGGACTCTGTCTTCCCTCACTCTCATCCCTCCTTGTCACTTCTCTCTTCTTTTTATGCGTTTTGTGCTGTGTTTCACGGGGTTATCTATTTGTGTCCCACACTTTCAACTCGGGAACCACAAAAGCTAGGTGGCTGAAATTTTGGTATAATGTTTCCCGCCAGCGGGTAACGCGGCAAGTTTAAATTCAGTCGTCTCGTACCCGCGGGTAACACGTACGGACTCGTGAAAATTTTTGACGGGTAATCTCGGGAACCACGGAGTCTAGGAAGCTGAAATTTTCGGTAATGACCCCCTGGCCCACGCTCAACCTTGCCTATTCATATTCAGCGTTCCCACGCTCTTCAGTATCACCTACGGCCTCGTGAAAATTTTGGCGGGTAAACTATTAACTCAGGAATCACGGAAAGATATTCACTCTTCAATGTTCGAATTCAGCTTTCATGCGCGAAATTTTTAACTATTTTCTAATGTTTGAACTATTTTTGCACAGACTAAAATACAAAGCAATGAAAATCATTAATAGGCAATGGTTCGACGGGCTGAATTGCACAAAACGCATGATCCCACTGGCTAGTCTGGTGCGCATTGCTATTTATTCAAGCTTGTGAAAACACATGTTGTTGAATCTGTCTCACATTTACCTAAAACCTAAATAATAAATTTCGGCTCACAGTTGCTTTGCACTTCTTATATTTTTTGAATTTCTTTCTCGACATTTTCCATTTATGAAAATAAATCAACAAAACAGTTTTTTTGAAAAAGCGCATGGACTTACTCCATTTTTATATGTGGAAATGTGCCAAGTTTCATCACACCTGGGATCCATTAGAGTATCACGAATTTTATCCAGAAGGCGCCTAATTGGATGAAAACAAAGCAACACCCGCATCCAGTTATCAGGCGATCTGCAAATTGATCAAAATAACAAAGCTTACAAGAACAACTAAGAAAGAAACAATCGAATTAAGTCGAGCTGCTATGGGATCCACTTCTCACACAGAAGACGAAAAAAGAAATTTTTACAAAGCTTATACAGTCACCCCGTCTCTGCTGTCGTTCGCTCACATTTCCGGCTTCAAGCGTGGTCGGTACTTATGCCACCAAGCGCTTGTCGGCACAAAAGCTCTCTCAGAAAAAAAAGGTATTGCTCAGAAGCATTCAGAGATGTTACCGGATAAGATGAACTGCTGCAAGGCACGCTTTTATCTGAGCGATTTCAGTTTCAGTCTTGAAGAGGTTCCTGAGCACTTCCAGTCCGAAAAATGTGTCAATGTGATTCGAAAATTCGTCCATAAGAATCTCACCAAAACCTGCTCGTACCGTACAGTCAGCG